CTGATGGGGGGGGGGGGCCTGCGGGCCCCACCTTTCAGGCAGGCCAGGGCCGGGAAGGCAAGCCGGACTCCCGACGCCCAGGAGCTGCCGTCTTTCTGGACTGGCTGTTTGCTTCAGGTCTCCCCGCGCCCCGGCTTCTAGCGGCGGACCCCAGACCGGAGCCTCACCCCACCCCGCAGCTCCGAACTTTCTAGCTAGAAGTCGGCCACGGCAGGAACGTTTGCACCACGGGGGTCGGCCGTGGCTACAGATCGGTGGCCGTGCCCCAGGAGCCGGCCGCATCACCGGGCACGCCGCAGCCGACCCACTTGCCCGCGGGGACGGCTCAGCCCGAGAGAGGGAACTGCCGATCTTATCGGCTCATCCCCGGAGCCTAAAAGCTAGGTTTCCGGGGCCAGGGAGCATCAGGAGCTTGCGGTGAGCAAGCACCGCTTCCGGGCTTTTCCGGCACCGGACCAAAATGCAGGGCTGCCACACTCCACTTCCCAGGCACAGGGCCCGGGGAGAAAATACTGCCCGGAAGGGCCTGGGACGGACGAGCCCAGGAGCAAGGAGCCCGGCATTCCTCGGGACGGCTCTCGGTCTCCCGTCTCCCCCTCAACACTGTGGCTTCTACCTTCCGACCACCAGCCAGCCCCGGTTCTGCAGAGGCGGAAGGCGCCGAGGCGGAGGGGGGTGGGCCGGGGTGGGTGCTCACCGTCCTCGTCGGTGCGGATGACCACGGGCGAGCTCTCGGGCCCTGGTCCCACCTCTGTGTGAGCGACCGTCGTGATGCGATACTCCGTCCACTTGTCCAGCGCCTCCAGCAGGATCTGAGTGGCGGTCGGGGGAATGCCGTTCACCTCCTTGGGTTGCGGATCCTCTGAGCCCAGCGGTCGGTAGCGGACGCTATAGCTCACCAGGGCCCCGTTGTGCGTTTCCGGCGGCGGTGGGCGCCAACTTACCAAAATGGCCGTGGAGCGCGTGCTGACGCATTTAACGTCTTGAGGGGGGGCTGACGGTTCTATTGGAGGGGGGAGAACGTGGGGGCGGGGAGGGGAGGCGGGATGGGCGGGGGGAGGGGGGCGGGGAAACAAAAGATGGGAAAGAGAAAATAAAACAGAAGATGATAACAAACAAAACAGAACTAAACCAAAGAGAAGTCGAACCCAAAAGAAGCGGGTGTCAACCAAAGGTGAGATGGACGGGTGGGGGGAGGGGAGGGGCCGGGAGGGCTGGCCAAGAACGCTGCGCTCAGCACTGCACCCGCCCGGCACGCAGGCGGCCCTGGGGAGGGGGCGGCCACCGTCCCCGGGGGACGCGTGTGTGGGCGCGTGTGTGGCTAGGTGTGCGCGAAAAGCCCCGGTCGCGAAGCACCCGTCATACACGGGGCAGGTGCCGGGGCGGCACGGGATGGCGACAGAAGCATCGATTTATTGGACACCTGCTCTGCGCCAAGCACCGGGCCAAGGGCGTCACAGCATAACGGTAGATGTACTTAGCGAACACCTACTGCGTGCCAGGGGAATAGCACGGTCAGTGTAAAAGCAGGACGAGTCCCCTCTGTTGGGCACCTACTGTGTGCTAGGCAGTGTGAAGGGCTTCATAGGTTTGGGGCATCTGGGTAGCTCAGTCGCTTAAGCATCCGATTCTGGACTTGGGCTCAGGTCACAGTCTCACAGTTCGTGGGTTTGAGCCTCGCGGCAGGCTCTGCGCTGACCGTGCGGAGGCCGCTTGGGATTCTCTGTGTCTCTCTGCCCCCTGCTTCTAGCTCTCAAAATAAGTAAATTTTTAAAAAAATTTGGTTTTGTTTTTTTTTTTAAAGAGCGTCGTAGGTTAACGGCAAAAACACCTACGTGGTGGACACCGGTCTGAATCGGGGGCTCTAGGACCGCCCTCTCCACCTCACTGAAGACAAAACAGCGCCCACGTCTCGAGCACCTACTATGTGCCAGTGAGCATGCCGAGGGCTCTCGAGAGTAATAGCACGAGTGCCTGCTAACTGGACACCTCTTGTGCTGCCACCAGGCTCAGGGCCTCACAGGGAGCACAGCCCAAATTAGGCAACTACTGCATGCCAAGGTCGTGACAGA